CGAACAGAAAGAGCCGAATCTCTAAAAAGAGCCGGAAATCCCATCACTAGAGTGCGCACGCCAAGGGGCTGCGAGACATTTATACAGCTGTATTTCGCACATAAGTATGAAAGGCGGAAGAGGAAGTAGTTCCTTTGAATGCAGACAATTATAGTTTCTTTCCACTGTGTTCCTGTTAATGATAAACTACAAATCTACCCTAAATTACTAAAATATCGATATTTTAATATGAGAATCGATTCTACAACATAAATGATTGGTATCGGAGGAATCGATATTGCAGGATCGATCACATCACTATTCTGGAAAGCAGGACAGCCGCTGTAAGCAGAGAGTCACACTTCAGTGTTTGGACAATTCTGACATTTTTGTATTGAGACTTTGAATAAAAGTGTAACTCCTGAACAGTTTATGCAATACTTTTGTTAGACTTCCTAAATTTAAGCTGAAAGTCTGTACTTTATATATTCTTTAAAATCCACTGAGGTTATCATCAACTTATGGACGGACTCTGCAATGTTTATAAAAAGTGATTCTAATGAGCATGGATATCAGGAAAGTGATCAGACTCGGATGTAGAGTCTCGATGGGAGATTTGCTACAGTTTGATGATGCACAGAGCGCTGTTTCAGTGTTCAACAGAGTGGCTTTATTTTAAGCTCTGAGCTGATGAACTCTGAGGACAGCTGGGCTCTGGACGATGAGGCAAGTTCAACCCACCCAGGTTATCTGTTAGCTGTTTCCACAGGAAAATGAGGCATGGAAACTTTAGGATGTTTCTGGAACTTTTAATTAATTTTTTTACAATAATTAAATAGATTCAGTATCTTCACTTGGCTATGATAGTAAACAGACACTGATGTAGTTTACTGGATCTTCTGGACTGTGTTCAGCACAATATTAATTAGTTATTGTCAATTGTTGATTTGTCCTGTTCTCATTGTATGACAAATTATGATGGCAGTTTGTTAGCTGATTGCATACTATGCATACTCTCTCTCTCTTCATATATATGTGTACCGGGTGGCGGGGGCGCCAGAGGGAGTGTTTCCCCGACGGGCGCCAAACAGGCTAGGACCTCCACTGGCAAAGTGCCTTTGTGACATTCATTAGTGCCCTCACTGACACACAAAACAAAACAACAACTACACAACAGGCTAACTGTACACTCCACGCCAAACGTCACAAATCTCCCACATCTAAAAACTCTCTCTCTCTCTCACTCGTGCTGTCTCGCTGCATTTAGAATTTTTGCCTTTACCGTCACCCCCAAAACTTTCCCCTCTTCCTAAACAACCAAACGTGTTGACTTTTTTAAAAATTGGTTGACATGGTCCACTTTTCCACCGATGGAAGACAGGTGGCATTTTTTCTTTCTTTACTGTTGTCGAGCTGTCCTTAGAAAACGCTTAAAAAAAATCAAAAGTATTTAAAAAAAAAAAGCGTGGCTTATATATTAAAATTTAAAAACTTTGAAGTCCGAACTTTCAACACGGGCTGAAAGACTCGGCGTGGCTGCAGCTTGTTGCTGTGTCAGCTTAAATCAATCATGTGATTTGGAGGTGCAGCGTGTCCGTGGACCCCAGAGGGTTAATAACACTCACCTTCATTTCATTTCCAGAGTGTAACAACCAACCACCTGTGTGAAATCTGAAATTCCTATGGTGTTGGCATGCTTGCTACTGAAAACAAGAAAAAAGCCGGTCCTGCTATGGGCTGAACCATTTGTTAATGGCAGAGGGGAACGTCTATGTAATATATTTCAATGATGAAATGCTGGTTTGGTAGCGCTCCAGATGCTGAACTAGACCACAGACAGGCACTCCACAGCCACTCTATCACGTGATGCATACTGCTCCGACGTGCTACGGTCATGGCCAGCTTTTGTGATATTTAATGGATCGGATTACACTTTTTTAATCAGAAAATGATGGTTTTGTTTAGAGCTCTGTCTAAACTTTGGTGTTTGAAGCCAAGCACAATTTATTTTAAAGACACATTCAGTTTGTCACTTAAAAAAATGTGTCAAAATTATGAGCTTTTAAATAAAAGGTTCAAAGCGACACTAAGGACATGCTCAGTCCTCCACTCTTGTTAGTGTGGGGTCATTGAAAAGCAGATGTCCTGTAGGACAACTTGAGGTTAACCTTTGAACATGACTGTCACTCATCCCACGTCTGTGTCTCACAGTGTGGATGCGTGTGTCCAGACTTTGCTACGTTTGTAAGGAAAAGTCACATTATTTCTTTGAAAGTCGTGTACTTTGATTACTATTTTTATGCCTAAGCAATATAAAAAAACAGCAAAATAATATAAACTGATTACAGTGGCTGACTCTTCTGTTTTTATGACAAGCCCACGGTACAACAACGTGGATGATGTGTTCAGTAAACTGTGAACGGATGTGAATCGATGACGTGTGAAAGCTGAAAATCCGAGATTTTTGTGAACTGATCCTCTTGCGTTTGTGTTTCTGGGAGTTCCTTATAATAAAACCAAACTTTGAATGTTTTCTCCTCCGCTCGTCGCTGAATTTCTTTAAGCCGACTGGAACCGTTGCTCTATTGACTTGTTTCTACACGGACATATAAACAGTGCTGGTATGAGTTCCGCTGGTTCTGAGTCATAACTTGTTACTCGGTGGGAATTTCATACATTTCAAACCAACGTTTTCGGACTATGTGCTGGAAACTAACGCAGTGCTAGCGACCTCCAATGAACCGACATACCGAGGGTTCAGACGTGAGCTCCCCGCGGCCAAAATGAGCTCTGTGCCGCTGAAGAGGACCTACAAGCGGCTGCCTGTTTGTGTTGTGGAGGACCACCACGACGTAAGCCTTCTCCGCGTGAACACAGCAGCGAAACACAACCACATAGTTCTGCTAAAGCTAACGAACGTTAGCGTTAGCCGGCGTCTCGTTCTTATAACAGTGGACCTCCGTTTGTATATGAACGAGATAAATCCTCCCATTGTTCAGAAACAGAACTAATATTGATTATTATTATTACAAAGCAGACAAATGGTGAGCTGATAAACTCAGTGATTTGTGTTTCTTATCAGAGTTTTAGTCACTGTCAGGTCCGCCCACGTGACACTCATGACGTCACTGGAGTAAAAACTGAAGTTATAGAGAATTGTTATTATTGTTACAGATGCATTATTGTGTATTTTATAACTTTACCCAAGTTTATCTAGTTTACTTTATCTTAATTGCTAAAACACTAAATACCATTCTATGAACGAAATAGTGATTTGTCCATTTATTGAGCTGGTTACTCCTTTAAACCTTAAATATATTTTTTGGAGTTGAGCACAGTCTCATCTGCTCTTGTAGCAAACGTCCGAGCTCTCTCACTCAGATCTACAGGAAATAGGATTGTTCAACATAACAGGTTACTGCAAACATCACACCATCTGCAGACGCAGGTTTCTCACCGAAGCTCGATCAGGAGTCGTAACAGCATGTCTCCACTTTGCTTTTCATCACTTCTAGCATGAAGGAATCCACTCAGTGACATAATCTGAGACATGGATGTCTAAACCAAAACAAAGAAATAAGGACTGTTTTTGTAGTTGTTGGTTGTTTGTTGTGTTCTGGTCCTTCACACAGACACACACTGGGTTCTCCTCTCTATAACAGACTAACGGTGAACATGGATGGTATATCCTTGGTTTTAATATAGCCATAGCAACAACAGCTTGACACCTTCTCCTCACACTGTTCAGCCAGTGTGGTCTAAATCTGCTGCCCACGTTTATATTTTGTACTCCTTGTTGAAAAACACACACGATTTGAAACTGTAACATACAGCTGAGTGAGACGAACACTTTCACTGATCTCACACTAGAATGTTTTTACAGTTGGTATATTGGCATCGTTATCATCACTGACAACAACAATCTCGTGACTGCTTGTAGACAAAGCTAAGCAGAGTGCGTGTGGGAATTTCCTGCATATTCAGTCAGCTTTGAAATGATCACAGTGGTTCTTACTGACTCGCACTGCGCCACGAATGTGAAGCAGGCGTGTAGTGAGTCAGGTTTCTCCATTGGCTGGCATCAGTCAGCGAGGGCTCGAACAGGAAAGGAAACATCCTGTAATCCAGCCTGTAATAATCCTACGTTACTTATTTGGCTACATGTTCATCTCATTGTGCTTGAAGCAGGAGAAGTTCGGCTACAGCCGGACTGACCCATCATCATTTTGAGGGGTTGCAAAGTTAAACGTGTAAATGAGTCCATGCTTTGCTGATGTTTCTCATGTTCAGCAGTGAAATCTGATCCTGGTAACGTGGAAATGTTCACGAATGATGTCAGTCATGTTGAAAGATTTTGTGCTTTTAATGATAATATTAAAATCATCGTTCACATTAGCTTCACATCGCTAATCTTACGGTTTCTCTACCAGGTGGTGTGTCACATCTACCGGGCCATAGCTTCGAGGCATCTCCCAATGAAGGACATAAAAATGATTCATCTGGACTCCCACCCTGACCTCCTCATCCCCGTCAACATGTCTGCTGACACAGTGTTTGACAAGGAGAAGCTGTTTGGGTACGTTATGGGTCAGACTGCTTGTGTTGGTCAAAGCTCCTCAGAAAGTATGAGACGTAAACATTAACTCAGTAAAATGTGTTTATAGTAACTGTTACGACGTGCTTCAGGCGATGACGTGATATTAGTCTCTGCACATGTTTACAACAAGATGTGAAGGAAGGCGACGTCTAAAAGAGGCGCAGTCGTGTTCGAGCACTTGACTAATGTTGGCTGTGACTCAGTGACGGCTACGATCTGCCTGCAGTTTCCTCCCACAAGGAGCCCAAAGTCCCTCAGATGGGGACTGAAATGCTCCAAACACGGAAACAAACCAAAGCGACCACAGAAGGCGCCACAATCTGCTCGTTCTTTCAGGTCAGCATTGTTAACGTGTTCAGGGTCCAGGATTAGACTGATGCAGATATATAAACACATGCAGCCTTTCAGTAGGAAGTCCATCTGTGTGAGTCGGGCCATGTTTATATGTATAAAGCACAAAGTTTTGGTTAATTTGTAGCAGTTTGATCCACATGCTGAGCTCCAACAGCCAATGAAAGGTGCCTGTTAGTTGGTGTGGAGGAGTGTTTGCCTCCTCATCTCCTCTGCTGGTGACAGTAGTCACACTTAGCATTGTGAGCTGTGTCATTACTGCACATGTGAGTGTGACTGTGGGTGTGTGTGCAGGCACGGGGGGTTAAATCCAGATGTTTGAACAGAAAACAAGACGCTTCCTCTGGTCACCAGTCTGTCACTGGGACAACCACCAGTCACCAGTGACCTTAGTCTTTGACTGGGACAGAAGCACCACAGCACGAGTCACAACGAGGACCTGCAGTGAGGCAGTAGAGCGAACCACTGCACCTGTTGGTGGGAGCTCTTCAAACAACGTCACACGTCGCCTTGGTGAATGAATGAGCCTGATATGCATGTAAAATAATTAAATTAATAAATGAGTCAATCATAATCAATAATCTTCTTTATTGTTCTGTTAAAACAAAATGAAACAGACGTTTTGCCTGATATAAACCTGTAAGACTCGCTTCCACAGACAGTTCTGCAGTGAAAAGCTTACAAATGCTCACGTTACAGATGTGCTGCTCAGATTCATTGTTAGGAAATAGAAGCTTCAGACAGACGAGTCGTAGCCATGAGACACGGGAAAGATGTTTGGAAGCCCGGTTAGGAAGAGGAGAGACGACCAGTCTGCAGCAGTATGGAGCGCAGACGTGATGAAGTGTAGAAGGTCGTCTTTGGATGAACAGTAAACGTATCATATGGTGCCAAGAGAGGAGCCGCTGTGCTGTATGAGGTAGTCAGGAGTGAGGGCGTGTACGAGGACAGCCTCCGTGGAGCTGCTGCGAGGTGTGAAGAATGATCTGTGACAGGGAAGCTTCACAACATGCTATGATGCTAAGTGATGGAGGAGGACGTTGGGTGGGCAACTCCAGGCCTCGAGTGCCGGCGTCCTGCAGGTTTTAGATCGCACGCTGGGTCAACACACCTGATCACATGATTAGTTCATTAGCAGGCCTCTGCTGAGGAGTCATTTAGGCCTTTAAATCAGCTGTGATGGATCATGGACACATCTAAACCTGCAGGACACCGGCACTCGAGGCCTGGAGTTGCCTACCCCTGGTATAGAGGATGAGCTTCAGCCCACTGCAGCCGTGGACTGTGTGGGTGGATGTGGGTGAACTGATATTTATGTCACCCCAATCTTGCATATTTCCCTTCTTTCAGTGAACTGAGTATAGAAAACTGGATCATGCCGATGGTGTACGCCGGTCACGTGTCCTCTGTGGTGTGGCTGCATCCATACTGGGCCCAGCAGATCAGAGAGGGAGAACACAGCATGACTGTGGGCAGAGACTCGTCCACCACCACCATCAGGTAGGACAGGAAGAAGAGCGGTGCAGCGAGAGACATCTCTGTCCCTCGTTGATCTCCTGTCTTTGTCCTCTCCTGTCTCTGCAGAGTGACCAGCACAGACAACTACTTCCTCAGTGATGGTCTTTACGTGTGCGAGGAGCAGCTGGAGAACCCAAAGCGTTTCAGCCTGAGCGTGATCCGAGTCGACCCTGTCAGGCCAGGTCACGGCTCGCTGACAGGTACTGAGTGTGATGGCAGCGACACATCGCAAAAAAGGCTGGAAGTAGTACTGAAACGATGCAGCTGGAGGTGCTGGGTGACACGACTGGGGGGAGCAGAGGTTCACCAGTCTGGGAGAAACTGTTTGGAATAATGTTTGTCTACATAAAATTGCAAAGACTGTTTTATAATGCTGTCGAAATACTGTGATCTTCAGGCACCTCTGCATTAAACCAGGCCTGATTCAGAAATGTCTCCTCTGGGCTGCCGCTCATTTATAACAGGTTGAGGTTGACCCTGCATTCCTTAAACTAAAGATTAAAGAGACCGTCTGAGCTCGTGTTTGGATATGTTTGCATGTGTTAACAGCAGAGGGCGCTGCTATTGTCCATTTGAACCTTTCTTCTACTGTTTGATCTGACATTTAATTTCAGAGCAGAGAGCAGAAAAGGACACAGAGGGATGTTCAGTCAAAAGAGCGAGAGCAGAGCGCAGGAAGTCTGGAGAACCCAGCAGCTCACAGCCTCCGTCAGCAAACACTGACTCACTGCAACCAGCAGAGGGCAGCAGAGCCGAGGACGGAGCTGACAGCACAGGAGGAGACGGTGTTGACGATGAAGGATCAACCGGCTACATCGTGAGGAGAATATCTTCATCTGTCAGTGAGACGGAGCCGTACGTTCTGGACGTCGATCTGGATTTCTTCTCCTGTAAGAACCCCTTCAAAGAACTGTACACACAGGTGTGTTTCAAGGAAACGCTGTTACAGTTTCAGCTTCTGTTCATAAGCTCGTTTTACTTTGAAACATTGTTATTAGTCTGTTGAATTAAATTAGTCTCTTAATCAGCGGTCCCCAACCCCCGGGCCTCGGACCGGTACCGGTCCGTGAGTCGTTTGGTACCGGGCCGCGAGAGTTGAGGCTCAGGTGTGAAATGTATAGTTTTCAGGGTTTTTATCGGTTTTCAGTGTTATTTTGTTATCGTTTTTATCGTTAACTCAGTTTTCCTGGGTCTTTTCACGTGTGTTATGAATAAATCTTCTTTTTTAGGTACCGGTACTAGTTTGATTTTGTTGTATTTATCCGCGACACCTTAAAGGCCGGTCCGTGAAAATATTGTCGGGCATAAACCGGTCCGTGGCGCAAAAAAGGTTGGAGACCGCTGCTCTTAAACAACAACATCAGTTTAAACAATAGCAAATATGAAACGAGCTCATGGGTTAAGGTTGTAAACAACAACAACAATAATGATAATAAAAGATTATATGGGGGGAAAAGGTCTGTTCTGGTCTCCAGTTTGGATACCAGTAAGATTAGACTATGTGGGACAGATGAGAGTGGGCCGGGCGTCTATGCAGCATGTTTGTGTCTGAGTGGATTAAACTACAGTGGAACCCGACTTACGAAATAAATTCGTTCCAGAGGGTCTTTCATAAGTCTTTTGAGTGAGGCGATGCTTCTGAAGACGAAGTTCTTGGTGGAGGACCTTGCTCACATTTATCAATAATTTCTCTCTTTGTTTCCATCGAGAGCACTTTACGCTTCTTCTTTTCACTCGACTCACTTGCATGAAGTTTTTTCGGCCCCATTCTGAATGAACGACAGGCTAACTGCAAACGTAAAGCACATGATAGCGCACTGCAACAACAATACGTCTTTCACGTGGAACAGCGAAACGCAAGAACGAAAGCCACGGGGTTATCACGTGATTCGGAGGGCATCGTGGGCGTTCTGGGCTCAGCCAGCGGAGTTTGTTACGCGGGCATTTTGCCATACCACGGGCAGAAATATTGCCGTTAAGTTCCTTTGTAACTTGAGTTTTTCGTTAAATGGGTTCTTTGTAAGCCGGGGTTCCACTGTATTAGACGTTTGTCCGGCTTTAGAGTCACTGTCATTACTGTCGGCTCGCCTTCTGCTTGATTGCTGTCAGTCTGTTCTCCAGAGCACAGACAGAGTTAGCCTCTTTAGTCGTCAACGCTGTCGGACTTTGGCCCAAACTCTGAGCACTACTTTCAGGTCCATGTTGTTAGTAGCTTCCTCATCTTATTCCTCTGAAGAAGTGCTTTTTTGGCTTTTTGGTTCTTTGTGTAAATCTTTAAGGCATGATAAATGTGTAGTGTCACACGACTACGGTAACAAACATACAGCCTGAGTAAAGCTGAATTGTTCAATAAAATAAATAGAACCTGAAAAGGTTCAGTGAGCGGAGGCTGAATCAGGAGTTGAATGAAAGAATAAAATTGCAAAGTTAACAGAATAAAGAGTTATAAATGCAGGTGTTCTGATTTTCTGTGGAGGTGAAACATGTCTTAGAGAGAGCGTCGAGCTGCATGTAAGTGGTGCAGACGGAGGTCTGGATCCATTTATTCTCCACAGACACAGTCGGAGCAATATATCCACCCATGTGATTGGTCACATGTTACTAGCACCACCCTCTGTAACTTACCTCAGCGTCTCAGTATCCAGTGTGGTGTGATTGTCCTGACTGCCCTCTGAGCGAGGGTTCAGTGCGTTTCCCAGCCCTGCTGCCTCAGGGTTTCATGGAGCAGCTGATCCAGGGGGCGCTGTGTTCCCGACGCTCCATGGTTCGTCCTGGATCCTCACCCTCGTTCTTTCTGTGGCTCGTACAGCTTCAGGCTGCTTCAGGTGGACATCCGTCCATCTCCTCTTGTGGTCAGCTATGGAGGCTGTAGTTTTAAACCCCAGCCCACAGCAGACAGAGTCCAATAGTAGCAACAATCCCACTGCTGAGGCATTTTTAGATTGATCTCTCTTCTAGCTGAGCAGCTACTCGTAGCAGGAGAGCTTCGTGAACACAGGCCAGACTTTAGTACTAAACTAATACTGAAAGAAGCTGTTTTAGTTGGAGACGTCCTCGTCTTGTGTCTGTTGGTGAAAAAAAACAAATGGTCCTGATGTTGATCCTGGGCAGGATGAGGCAGAAATGTCTGATTTTTGTTTTCTTGTTTTTCTTTGTGTGGTTGGTGGTTCGACTGCTGCCCCAGAGCAAGAAGGTCCTGAGGTTCTCCTGTTGTCCGTGTTTGTTCTCTCCGGCTTCCTCCCAGAGTGCACAGACATGCAGTCAGTGGGGTTAACTGGTGATTGTAGATTGCTCATAGGTGTGAATGGTCGTCTGTGTCTTAGCCCTGTGAGACTGTGCCCCGTTTATGCTCCATCCAAGTTAACACTTCTTCATGGGGCTGCATGAAAACCATTTCTAAATATATAGATGTAATGAATGCAACCTGGAGCCAGAAGAAGCAGCAGAAAAGAGTTCATTAATTAACCAATAGAAATGAGCGTGTGGTACAAACCCTGTTAATGAGTTAAGCAGCCTCCTGCAGCACAGTCCACATACACTGGATCCATTCTGTCATGTACTGTGTTACACTGGCTGGGTGGCTGTAGCTCAGGTGGAGCCCACCTACTGATCAGAAGGTCGGTGGTTCGATCGGCTCCTCCAGTCTGCATGTCAAATATCCTTGGGTAAGATACTAACCCCAAGTTGCTCTGCGATGCGTCCATCAGAGTGTGAATGTGTGAGAAAGTGCTGGTGTGATGGGTGAGTGTATATATATATAAGAAATATGTGTTGATCTTCATTACACAGTCACCTCAGCTACATGCTGTCTGTTTGTCCAGGAGGAGTACGCCATCCTCCAGG